GTTTCTGACCTTTCCCGGAGTCTTCTTCAACTTCAAAAAAATAAGCACTGGCAGTCAAACTAGGAACAATTTTAGGGATTTTTTTTAAAAAAAAGGACATGTGAAAAATGATTTCGCCAAAAGGCGGGCCCCAGGCAGAACGCGAATTTCGACCGCTTTCGGGAACCAACATTTTGCAAACACCCCATATACCCATAGGATCCATGGTGCTGGTATATATGCTAACATTGGGGATATATTGATGGGATCCATGTTACCATATATGGCAGCACCATGGATCCTATGGGATATAGATCAATGTAAATCATCTTATTTCTGGGTTCCTCATGACTTGAAGCTTCTGAGAAGCAACTGACTGGCCACGCCAGGCAGTTGGTGCCTGTGGCCCGACCAGCTGACCTGGAACTTCCAGCACTCTCAGCACTCAGGAGTTGGTGCCTACGACTGGGTTGGAAATGCCACGCCTGTAATCTTTATATACTAATTATATATATATAATATATTATAATATACATTAATATATACTGTAATGGGCCCTAGATTGCTAGACAGTATACCATAATATGTGTAAAAACACACTATATGATATTATAGTGTCTTGTATTATGTTGTACTTACATATGCTTTATTATGTATTTTACTATATATATTCAATATATTACATTATTAGATTACATCAATATATTTTGATATGTTACTGTATATAGTATAATGAGTCACTTTTTCAAACAAGGTGATTCCCTTGTACTTCCGATTTTTGTTGCATTATGTGGATTGTTCGGATTGCAAAGAAACAACATTGTTATATTGTTTCCAGTCATCAAGATCGCCCATGTATGAAATGGGTTCATCATGGTTCATCTAAAAATTGATATGAATTCATGATATTCCCAAAACCAGTTAGAAACCCTTGGAACCACAGTTTTTCCCGCAGAAAAGATATGTTGAAATCCTGACATTGGCCACACATCGCAGGAACTTGGTGCCCCGAAGCCTCCTTGGTGCCCCGAAAGTTCTAGAGGTGCAGCTCTGGTGAAGCCTCAACGGTAGATATGTCAGAATGACTACTGCCAGGCCAATAGAACCAATAGAGTGCTAACCCAGATTCACCATGATTCACCAAACATTTCACCTTAGTTATCCTTAGTTGTATGATTATTTCAGGTTGTTTTTCCAGATCTGTGGATGAGAAATCCTGCACAAACATGGTAGATGGTTTATCCCGTTATAGTTCCATTATTTAGATGATTTTATCGTTACCAATAGTTGCCAACTGGTGCAGGATGTCGTCAACCATCCACAGTATACTAAACATCCATCTATTCTTGTGGTTATACACCCACTAACCATTATGAATTTGTATTAACCACTTTTTTTTAACCCATGGTTAATAATGTTTACCAATGGTTAATTATAACCACCCATTACCCATAGGATCCATGTATGGTATAATATATGCTAACATTTGGGGTATATTGATGGTAAATGTTACCATATATAGCATACATGGATCGTATGGGTTATTAACCATCATTAACCAACTTGACCAAAACTCCATGGATTTTGAGGCCGATCTTGGCCTGGGAGATTCAGGTCTCGCCTATGGCCGGAGGAGACGACCGGTTTCTTCCCCGGTGGTGCTGGGTTTTTGGGCCCAGAAAAAACCATGTCAAACATATGAAGACCTACTTGGGTGTGCAGCTCCACTTGTAAGAGTGGATATATAATGATATATACTATACTGTATATATATATATATCTATAGACTATAATATATATATATACTATACTATAATATATATATACACCAGGAGCTTCAAAGACCAAAAAAATTGTAGGTCCAGTGAAAAAACACTAGTTTTTTCGAGAAAAGCCGGGTTTTTGGTAAAGAACCCATATTTTGGTTTTTGTTGGATTTGCACAAAATTGTCCGAATCGGGTGGACCTGTATCAAATTTCTCCTCATTACATGGCATGTAGCAATTTAATACTGACAACTTGTGAAATCTGTCAGACAGAGCGCGCGATCGAAACCGAAGCAAGCGTTATCAGACACGATGCGCGCTTTCTCCACCGGCTGCAGTTACCTCATATGCTGCGAACTTTCCCTTCAGCAGGACTGGAGGTAGTCAAAAAGTCACAATGGATATGCATGGCATTTCAAAAGTCAGCTTTTCAGATATGAACCCAGTAAATTGACAATAGCTCCGGTAATCTGCGTTGCTTTCTTTTTGTCTGGATCGGGCAATTACCGGTTCGATCTTGCAAAACCACAAGCAGAGCCTTAAAACTCGACGTCGCGCCGTCAATTCGCAGAGGCAAAAAACCCATATTTTGAGTACGGGTTAGTATGGGTTAAATATGGTTTAAATATGGGTTCCAGAAAAACTTTTTTTTTAAACTATATCAGAATATGGGTTTAGTACGGGTTAAATATGGGTTTAGTACGACTTAAATATGGGTTTTTGGCATTTTTTTGGGTACATACCCTAAAATTGTCATCCGACATGATTAAAGACTGAAAATGTTGATTGATTTTTCATGATTTTGTTCATTTTGTTCGATACTTTTGTTCGACTGTTTGTTGGGCTTTGGCAATCCAGAATCATGTTTTTCCCAATGAAAAAATACAGCCATGTTTTAATTTATGCTTCTAGGGGTGGTTCTTGGGAAAAAAAATATCCAACGACTCCAGATTGACTGTGATCACACTTAATGTTGTCCGACATGTTCCAAGAGCATCGGGCCCTTTCTTGTGAGAACTGCCAGCCAAAGCCAGCGGGGTGGAAGTATAATCAACATGAAGGGTACTGAGAGGGATAGATCCAAGGCTGGTATCAATATAAAGGGGTTTGAATCGTCTGAGGGAACGAATCATGAGAAGTCATGACACCAAGTGTGAGAAAAAGTAGGTTTTTTCACTAGTAAAGGAAAAAACCTGTTTTTTCTCAGAAAACCGGTTTTTTTCATAACTGAAGAAAAAAACGGGTGTTTGGGAAAAAAAACTACAAATGTGTGGGTTCTTGATGCGCTAGGTATGTATTATCATAGTGATCATAGTTGTACTGGGGCTGACTATGCCCGACTGATGCGGGATAGAATCCCATAGTAATTTGTCCATTCTTGAAATGAGCCCAACTGTACCCAAGATGCATTGGTTTGATGATTTTGGTTCATTGGGTCGACCGGTTCCACTTTCTTGATCCACTGATGAATGGGTGGACTATTGCATTGTTTGCCAAAAAAACATCTATAAGGGGTTGTCAGGTCTAGGATTCTGACCATAGACCATAGATATGATAGATCGATTCCCGTGCCTGAGTCCTAAGTGATCCTAAGTGTCTCAGTGGACCACTGGCGCTCAACTTTTGAGATATTTTTGAAGGCCTCAACAAAGCCATCATTTGGCCAGTGTCGAGAAAGGCTGACCTCCGCAATGGTTGCAGGATGCTGAATTTCAGTTGATATTAGCCAACCTGCACAACAGACATGGGTTTCGAAATAGTTTTTGACATGTTTTTGACATGTTTCAATAATTGCAGTAGACAGGAACTTGTCCGCCACCTGTCAACCTGAACTCTGTGAACATGAAGGGTTTCAAGCCGAAACCCGAAGGGTTTACCTGTTCCTGGATGGGGTTCAGCGCTTTCGAAGGAGGGGTAGCTCCAATGGCAAAACCAGTTTTCAGGCAGGTTCCGAATGCCGTCCCAGGGCCAGTGGAGGTCTCCAACATGGTCAAATAATCGTTACCCGGGCATGTTGGATACACAGCACAAGAAAGCATGGTGTGCCATGTTTTTGCACATATGTGGAGGTTGCGTGTGGCATGATGTGGCATGGCAAATTGCACCAAGGTGAAGCAGTAGGTAGCAATAGGATGCAATAGGCAGCGTCAGGCAGCCTAGGTCAGGAGAGATGAGAGAGTTTTATGTATACAATGTGATACAAAAATAATGATAAACATTGGAATTGTTATGATAGATATGATAGGATATTCATACACTAATATACTGTACACAAATGATAAATAAATACAAATAATGATACACAAATGATAGACATCAGAGCCATGTGGCCAAGACGTAGATTGATGATTGATGGTTAGCAAGCCCCTATGAGCCTATGAGGCTTTGATTAGCCATAAATGGGGTTTTCCAATCCATGGGGGTACCCCAAAATGGATGGTTTACAATGGAACATCCAAATAGTAGAGGCTAAACTATGGGTAACTTTACCAGCACCCACCAAGGCGGTCGAAAATAGCACTCCGCTGTTAGCTTTGCCTCCGTTGGGGTGCTCATATTGTGCGTGGTAGGAGGAGGATCAGAGGGTTGAGACAATTGAGACCAGAAGATTTTTCCGTTCATTGGACTACTGTATGGCAGACATTCATATCATTTTACATACACCTCACCTTAGCCTTCTTGAGAAAGGCACTACTCCTTGGCATTTAGGTGATATTCTATATAATTGGGTTTGTCCAAAAAATGCCTCAAACTGCAACTGTAGTTGGCTTATGTTGCTTTCATTGGGAAAATTGTTTCTCCAAACCATGGGAGGTAAGGGTGCATTCCAGCTAGTAAGCGGTTCTTCATTTTTGGTTGGTTTAATGATACACATGATATACCTTGGTTTTCCCACCCGATACCATCAGCCCCAACTAACATAGACCCTGGCATGAGTTGAAACTGTTTAAGTTTGGATGGTAAATGATGATACCCTCAGGTAATTTGACATAGCTAATATGGAGAATTACCATGTTTAAGTTCGGTAAATCATTGACAATCATCATGTTTATCATCTATTTCTATGGCTCTAGTATAGGATTGTTGAGACAGTCGAGAATCATGGAAAATCATGGAAGATCATGGAAAATCATCTAGAAATGGACCATTTTTATCATTTTCTTGCATCGCTAAAATGGTTGAAAATCAGCTGACAAATCATCCAGTGATCCGAGACCAACTCCATTGACGAAACTGCCAAAGCTCAGCGAGCTGATGGAGGTCCCTTGGTTTTTCTTGCTGGGAAAAACCATCATGGGAAAAGTGGAAAAAAAACCATGGTAAAAACCCATGATTTCCTGTAAATTTAATCAAGAATGACAAGAATGTATCCACCAAAGATGTATATTGAACCTAGAACTTGGAGTTATAAATTTCATCAATCCTCCCTGAAACCAATCCATTGAAACCATTGAGAAATGGCCGAAATATGCCGAAATTGTTTGATTTGATCGACAATGAAGCGGTCTAAATTATGGACGAATTGAGATCTGACAAGATTCGAGAGAATGACTTCAGTGCTTGAATGAAAGAGGGAAACCTGATGATCCATTTTGTCACACGAAAGTCAGTGAATATCCTTCGGCTGGGATGCAGGTTGGGCGCGCTTCCTATCGGGCAGCACAAGCCGCGAAGCTTGCAGCACCTCAGGCTCACCATCATGGCAGTTATGGATGAAGCCCAGATGCCATCGGTCTGGCTTCAGACCGAGAGTTTTGCAGAAATTTTATGTGAGTTTGTTTGACAGGACACCCGCAACAGCCAATGGTCGGTCACCATGTTCCCTAGTATACCACATCCCATGTTTCTCCCATTCCATTGTGAACTACGCGGTTGGTCACTTCACTGCGTGTCCGCAGCATTTAACGGCTCAAGCGTGAGTCCATGACGTCCAGAGGTGTTGGGTGATGGTTCCGTCGCGAAGGGCGAGAGCCAGGTTGGGCTAGTGGATGTTGATTCATTTTAAATTTATGATGTTTTATGGCAGACATTTCATGATATTTCATCAATGTGCCACCCTGAAAATGGCACGATGATCCAATTTGACTCATTTTTTGGGAATAGGTGATAGGTAGCTCAGCCACAAGTCCAGTCTTTTTTTTTATGTGGTTCTCCATTCTTCAATGGCAATATACTGGAGTAAATCCCCTTGGACAAGCCCAGATCATATCATATTATATATTGAGATATATTGATAATATTGCTGAGTATTATATCTAATTATATATATATATATTGTATAATGTAATATATCCCCATTCTATTCCCAAAGTGGTTGCTTTTGCAGCCCGATGTTGGCTTTGAATCCCCAGGTATTCACACAAATTAGGGCAACATCCGTTGGGTTTTTCCATGCCCGTTTCACCACAGAGGTCATAGTTGCGACCGCATTTTTCAGCGATGCCAGATGACAAGGCTGGCCTCACAGCTTATATCAGTTTAGTTTATTGTATCTCATTTTGCAGTAGATAGGTAAATTCTGCATCTAGGTATAGCCGAATGACTTGGATGGTTGATAGATGTTGATAGTACAACATGACACAGTTGTGGGTCTGTAGTTTGTAAGACGTGTGATTGCCGCATGTGACTATACAATTTTGAGATTTATTTTCTTGTCCCACACAGTCGGAACTGGAGATGCAACATGCAGACTTCAGAAGTAGCAAGACCCATGGACTTCCCAAATCGTATATGACTTCTACAGGCCGAAGAGAAAGAGAAGCCTGAGACCCTTGGCACATCTTGGCACATCTTGGCACATCTTGGCACATCTTGGCACATCTTGGCACCACAAAATGTTGGGAGTGATGGGTCCATGTTGGAATCACTGCACTTAAACTGATTTTCATGGCACTTGACCTGCAATCTTTGAGACATTTTAGGGCTAGCTTTGAAGGGCTGAAGCGAACCCTATGTGTTTGCGGTGTCAAGGTGTGTTTATTCCGATTATTAGATACTTATAACTTATAACTTATAATGATAATCTTAGATATACTGTACTATAGGAACAAACATATAATGAACTGTGCTGAAATGCTTTGCGAAATCCACCTTAACGGGGTAGATGTTTCGTGCTCGTCCTACTCTTTTGCATTTGAGGGCCAAAGTTGATCCCAATCTGAAGCCTGCGGCAACTTGGCTTTGCATGGAAATGTGTCGCATGAGTTTCTTCGCACTTACCCCAAAAAATGAGAGCCGAAAGCAGAACTTCTTGGAGTTTGGCTTCAGAGCTAGTTTGACATATCCTCCGGTAGTCAACCATGATAATTGAAAATCCCCGAACTAAATGGAGGTTTATAGCCGGGACAATCGTCGAACTAATTCAATGGTGGATTTTCGTGCAAGCCGTAGGAGTCTTTGGGATCCAAAGACCACGGCACTGGCGAATGCAAACCTTGTGCCTGGTACTGGAAGCCCCAGGGCTGCCGCAACGGCAAGGACCCGGTTTCGCCAACGCGGACGCAACGGATAGGGAGCGGGTTGATGATGTTGATAGAAGCACCACATGATTTAACACGGAAAACAGTTGCTATCCTAAATACATGGGACTGTGACCAGGCAACCTAATCATGATGTGACATGTGAGCTTGTTGCTATCATTTCCAATGTCCCTATGTTTACGGAATTGACACTGTGCAGTTGCTTCCAAAAGGAGTGTAGCCAAGATTGATTTGGTAGCCTGAGTGGATGGACAGACAGCCAAGGAAAGAAATGCCAGGCTGCTCGAGTCGATTTCTTGCATAGATACACTAGTCATTGGTATGTGCAGGATTGTGCTCACTGCCATATGTGCGAAAAGGATGAGCTCAAGAATCGGATGCTTGGATTTTTCTACAGCTGCATGTGCAAATTTTGCGAGTGCATCAGCAAGTTGAGGCAATGTGACAAATGTGGTTGAATTGCATGCTTCATGACCTTCATGCAAACACAATGCCGGTTGGTGATATTACTTTTGCTAGTGATGTCATGCCACATATTGCCACATATTGTGATTCGTGTATATAGCAAGTAGTTGGATGATACCTGTGGAATAGTACCCACATGTACTGGATGTCATGTTGCTGCTTTCGTATGACCTGGTTCAGGTTGGTGCAGTCTGCAGAATCTAGCCTTATTACAGTACATTATATATGACCCGGGGGAAAGGGACCAAGCACATATCGCATATATCATACTATATACATGGCCTTGCACAAGACTGTCTTGTCCAGTGCAGTATGTACACTGTGGATGTACACAAAAGTACACATGTGCAAATAGATGAATGATGTATTCTCATGGATCATCCCAGACTTAAAAACCTCCCAGACTTCCCCGGCAGATGGGCAAACTCTCCAGGAAAAAGAGAAAAGCGGCGAGCAACAAAAAGCCCGCACCCGAGCGGAGACGGACTTCTCCCCGCCGGTCTCCTCGCCGCTCCCGGACGCCAGATCGGCGACGCCCCGACGCTCCATATGAGCCGAACGGCGAGAGTTACCGCGCCTATTATGAACGGGCATATGGCACACCTCCGCCACATCCCAATCCATACTACTATCCTCCGGCAGATCCAAGGTATCCACCACCGGCCTATGGTTACCCACCGCCAGCCTATGGATACTATCCACCAGGATATGGCTATCCACCGCCCTATGGATATCCGCCTGCGGGCTATGGCTATCCTCCTCCTGGGCCAGGCTATGATGCCGTTCCCTCATCAAGAGCAAGGAGTCGTGGAAGTCGCTCTTCAGCTATGCCAGCTATGCTATGTCCATCTATGTCCTGTCTGGATTTCGGAGTTCCCCAGTAAATCCATGTGGGGAATCTAGGGGAATCTACTGGGAAACATGTGTATTTTCATTTTGCCCTCAAGCAAATCCGAGGTAGGCGCAGTGGCAGCGAATCGATCAGTGAAAGTCCGAGTCCAAAGAACCGGCGCAGAGCGTATGACTAAAGGCCCCTGGCGAAGGTCCGAGAGTCAGCACCTTTGGTACGGGAAGATGGTTGAAAAATGTTGAAAATGAAAGATTCAGTGTACGGAGTCCAGAGACATCCAGAGACTTAGATTTAGCTAAGGCTCTAAGGTCTCCTGCAACAGGAAAGATCGGGAGAGACGGCGGTGTTGCTGTTTTCCTTCATGGGTTTGGCTTGTCATTCATGAAAACATCAGTCTGGATTCAGGATTAATATGATTATCCCATATTATCTCCAAATAGCCCAACATTTCAGGTCCGTGGCCGTGAATGATAATTACCATCTGGTTATTTAACATAGCCATGGAAAGATCCACCATGCTATTAATAGGTAAACCATCTATTTCTATGGGCCATCTATACCATGGCAAACTGTTAGTCATAACCAGAGGGTAATCCAGATCATCAGATTCATGATTCATCCAGATCAGAGAACCCTGGAGGTGCCTCCTGGCAGCGGTCTTCACGTCACGCGGAACCGCTGTGCAGCGCAAATGGATGGTTGGCCAAAGCTGGAGCTGATTTGGAGACCTCATAGAAAGATGGACATTGATATGTTGATGACAACATTTTGAGGTTGATATATTTCTCAAATTGAATGTTGATATATACATACATGATTCAAACTGATCCTTTTAGTTGAAGTTGATTTGCATATGATTTTCGGAGAGACTTATAGAGGATTTCACATTGTTTTGGCAGTTGAAGACGATATTCTGATTGATCATTTGGTGAAGGCTTTGCCAAGGTCCTGATGAGGTCTGTAATCTTCAAGTCCTGCTCCGGCTGCTCGCAGCCCGACAGTGGAAGAAATGCTTTCACTGCGGTTGAGAGGGATCTGTGTCGTAAAAAGTGCTGGTTGGAACCATTCGGAACCTCCAAAGATCAGTTGATCAGTTGATGTTTCTGCTGCATGTTGCTGCCATTCCACCTGGTTGTTACATGTTGTTACTACGTGAACTGTTCATTTTTCTTTGTCTCCAAACAGGCTAGCCATTGGGATCCCATGAAGGGTACCATCCACTGCTGAATCACCTGCAGGTGCCCGATCCAACAGATTGGTTGTACCCTGCACGGCCCTATCCTTCGCACGCCTGGAAGTGGGACTGCCAGGGATGGCCTGTTTTTTTTGTTGGTTGCTACCTTGAATGGATTGTTTTTTTTAAATCCCATATAGATTTCAATGGATTTACCATGATTTACTTTGATTTACCATGATTTACAATCGCGTACCATTTGAAGATATGTTTCAATGGAGATTTCTCGCTGTCACATGCTTGTCAACTGGATCGAAGTGCGTTTGTTTGTTGCTTAGATCATTTAGATCCTGGTTTTCATGTGTTATCCTCACCATGATTGTCGTTTGTATCCCCGTCATATCTCTGCAGTTTGCTCCTAGTGGGCCTGGAACCCAAATCTCTCTCATCAGTTGCGGAGGAGGGTCCGGGGCCAGTACCAAGGCACCGTGTCGTCATGGAAAGTTCGATGATTTCATGGGAGTAGTTGGGAGTTTGATTTTGAATCTAGAACTTGGACCATTTGGACATATTTGGACCATCATGTTGGAAGAAGTTTGGCACCTTTGCAACGGAGAAAGGCACTCGTTCTTTCAGCAAATCAAAGATACTGGAGACTTTGAAAATTGCTGCCTGAAAGGGATGGCAACCAGCAGAACTTTTTGGGTTCATCCAAGATAGGCTTAAAGAAAGAGGCTTTTTGTTTAAGATGAGCTTGTACACAGTATTCTTGAAAGTAAGTGCGAAGATTTGACTGTTCCCTGCCCAGCTTCAATAGGAAATTATCCCATTAAACATTCCTATGAGAAGAGTCACATTGCATCACATTGCTATGTTTTTACGATTTTGTTTGAAAAGAAACGCTTCTCTGATCCCTGAGCTGCCAACATATTTGCCTCAGGCAGGGTGAGCGGGGCTTTCGCTGGTATGCCCGGCAGGCATTGGAGCGGTTCAGGCGCAGAAACAAGCTCTGTGGATGAGCGTCACTCTAGACATGCATAACAAAACACTAAGAAATAAACGTGTATATTACATATATATAATTATATATATATTGTATTATATTGTAACATATTGTATGTAATTATATATAAACCATGGGAATGGCACATTGAAGCAATGACACAGTGTTGGAATGGTGCTAGTTGGGCTAGGACGCAAACGGGTCCAGCGACCTATGGACCAAAGCTTTCAACCAGCGGCTTTCCTGTCACAGGCAAAGCGGAAAGGAGGAAGAAGCTTTGAAGAGTTCAGATGAGTTTCCACTGCAGAGGCTCATGACTTCTCAAGTCCTACTGTATCAAGCTGTCTCACAACATGTTGATGCATCTCGAATGCATCTTCCCAAATCCTCAACACATAATCCATGTGAACATGGGAATTTCACGGAATTTCCATTATAAACCCTCCAGCTATTGGGGTAGCCATGGCTAACCCCATGGATCCCTTGGTGCCAGGTACCAACTGAGGGTCGCTTTTTTGCTTCATCCCAAATCTCCGCTCTCTCGCTTGCTGGTGGTCGCAGATCCTAGAAAAACGCCTTGCTGGCGGTTGCCTTGAAGTATGGCGAAGAGGACCCAAACAAACATGTTTAATACATGTTTAATGATTCTTGGATATTCTGAGTTTTGATGGAAAAAAATGAAACATTAACATTCGTAGGGGTTCCGCTCAAAATGTTTGTTACGTAATCGGTTGAAGGGAAAATCAAATGGAAACACGATGCTTGCGCTTGTGGGTAAAGCCATGGTTTGAATCATAAACCTTCCCTCCAATCCATACCAATCCGATGATTAAATCTTAATATGATCAACCCAATCCCTGAGATTGCAGATGATTATATTTATGTTTCCCAAGTATTCCTATCATTCTTATAGATCATTATTATCATTAATATTTGTTATCATTAAAATTATTATCATGTGATTATCTTATTATTATATACTACTGTCAATCCATGCTTAACTTATATATATATAATATTGTATGCAAATTACCAGATGCTCCATATATATATATATCCATCTATGGAATATTTACCTACATTTACCCTCAAAATGACCAAAACGTAGGTACATAATTATTCCATACATGGAGCATCTGGGTTATGATAAATCCCCTATGTTTATCATAGGGCCCTCGGGGCACCCAAGGCTCATGCCACTGGCTCTGGCAAGACTCGTACGGTGCTGGCAACCGCCGAATCGCCAGGGGACCTGGTAGCCGGCGATTGGACCATCCCAATTTTGGGTTTCCGCATATTTTGTTGCTCCAAATCCATGGTAAATCATAGGTCGACTGGCGACCTTTGGATATTTTTTGGGCGTAGCCAAGTCGACTCTGACCAAGTTGGAACAACTGCCAGAGCCAAATGGCAGGTTCTACCGATCCGGAAAGGCAACGGTACTTTTCTTTCCAGAGGAAGCAGTGAAGGAAAACTTCTACCAGGCAGGGGCGATGGCTGGGGCGATGGCTCACAAACTTTGGGTGGTGTGCCATTTTTTCAAAAAACATGGTGTGTTTATCCCGATAAGAGATCATAAGAGAGAATGGTCAATCCGCCATTAGTAGGGATAACTTAAACATATGTACTGTATAATATATATATAATATATGTTATAATTATATTGATATTTATTAAAAGGAATACTTTTTATGATGGTGGGATGACCAGTCACCCCATTCGTCCCATGTAACTTGACCATGGCAGCCATGGCACACTGGAAAAATGTCGGTCTCCATCATACGCTTAAAGTTTTATGAAGTATTCATATCCATGACTTTTAACAGTGCCCTAAATACCAATGCCTAGATTCTTGATGATTCTTGTAGGGGTTATATTACCTGAAAGAGGAATTCCTACAATCCATGAAACGAGAATCCCTGTCAACCAGCTAATTTTGAGTGATGTTCCATGATTTTCCGATAGGTATCCCGGAATCCCATTATATTCTGATCTATTCCATGGCATCCCATTAGGTATCCCTGAAGATCCCCTTAGGTTTCACGAGGTTTTACCGATATGCCAAGGGCCCATGTTTCGCCCATTTGTCCCCAGGAGATTCTGAAATTTCCGGGTGCATGGCGTGACTTCTTCTGCGCCTGCATGGAAGTGTCAAATTGGCGGCAGAGGTGAAGCAATGGACCTGCACCATGGAGAAACCAGCAGAAATGGCCCAACAAGTTGGCTAAGTTGGTTTACAAGTAGGTTGACTTGGACTGATGGTAGATATATGGTAGATATATGGTAGATATATGGTAGATATATGGTAGATATATGGTAGATATATGGTAGATATATGGTAGATATATGGTAGATATATGGTATAATGATATATAGATATATAGTTAGGTTATATGAGGATTTTTAACTGGGGAGCACTACCTTTCACCGGAAATACTTCCATTTTCTCGGCCGCATGACATTTCTGCTCACCAACTTCAAAACCCAATTGCAGAAGCGAGTGGTTTGCTATAATATGCTACAATATTATTTATTTTAATGTTTGTTTCATGATATTTCACCATGAAACCAATATGTCCCTTCCGGATCCTTCCGGTATTTAATTAAACATGGCAATGGTAAATCCACCATTTCTAGATGTGTTTGTTTCCTGTTAAGACCCCATTTTACTGTATAGGGTTTCCCAACCAGCCATTTTTCAATACCAGAGGGTAATTATTGAACCATTTGCTGATCACCGTCACCATCAAGTACACCTGGCCAGGCGCTTCCGCTGCTGGAGTCCCGAGGAAATCGCAGAGTTCAACACCTCTGAGGTCTTGCAGAATGGGTCGCCAGTCAGAAAATGGTTGTATCAAACATGGGGACTATCCTACCCACTGGCGTACTCCTACCAGGTAACCAATCAAGGTACACTGCGAAGATTTGGAGACATTTGCGCAAGCGAGATTCAGAAAGTTGGGTCCTGCTGTCATAAGTTGGTGAATGGATCAATGGATCATGTGCTATGCCAATTGCCACCATTACAACCATGAATACCTTGGACAACTGCTCTGGAATTTCAAGAGTCAGTGAATGTCAAGGACGCTCTAGCTGCGCCACTGTGGATGGAAGAAATCCTGCACCACCTGGGATGGTTGAGACCCTATAAAAAATGAGATAAACCACCTATCAACTGGTGCAGGATTTCTTCCATCCACTGCATCATCGTAAGGGAGCGTCCTGCCTGGTCAGGTAGAGGCCTGCCTGGGAATGGAGCGAAAAATCCGTCTGGGAGAGATTTCGAGCACATTCCTGGAGGCGGGAGTGTAGGAAATTCCAGCTGATAGAGTCTTTGGACCCTATGTGACTACCAAAAATATCCAACAAGACCTTATGAGAATCAGTGCAATGACGAAATATTCGGGATGACAGGACCATTCAAGAGGTTCAAGCACAAGTCTTGAGAATATAGCAGGCCCCAAACTAGGAAAGTAATTTCAACTATGTTACTGTTACTATGTTAGTACGATTTTACTGTTCTATTCTATCTATTTTTGGGGGGGTACTTTGTATACTTGATATTCCGAAGCAATTTTTGTGTTCAATGGATCCAGTAGGAAATCACAAGCACAGGAAGCGTACAATGTTACAATGGTGTAGAGCAGTGCCATAGCTGCCAAACATTTTGGTATACTAGTGCATCTACAAATCATCTTGCGCATGGACAAGAATCTCATGTTTGTTCCACATAAATAAACGTATCTGAAAGTATCCATACCACCCTTTGTCAAGTGTCAAAGGCTTCGCGAGGGACTCAGCTGTGTGAAAGTGACCTCCCAAGAAAGGCTGCAGAAAGTTGTTTTTTGTTATTGTTGTTTTGGTCAAATCATGTTAAATCCGATCTTTCAGTCTGGTGCAGGACTGGTCACAAGCACATCCAGATGTGCCTCCCCCACTCGCACCGTTGCGTGCATTCAAGTACACTTCAGCCGGAGGCTCACGAGGAGGCTCGTCAACGGCGACCAATTTGTGTTGCAATACATGACTCACCTCCAGTCGGCAAGGATTCAGCTGGTTTAAATTGGTTTAAGCTTGTTTGTACCCAAAAAAAGGAGATCTTTGCAAACCTGCAGACACGCGGAGAGACTCTGAGACAGACGCGAAATTGTCTATGGACTCATGTTGTAGATGTTCAGTGCATCATTTAGCTATCTAGCGTATCTAGGATGGAAGAGAAATGGAAGCTTCGATGCGTCCAGAATGGACAGCGTGTGCTGGACTCAGATCGGTGTTGTTTCCGAAAGTGTTTTTTCGGATCACCGACGAGATGATGTATACTTTGATCCTAGCCATTGGTCCATTGGGTAGTCTTCATTGCAATTACTATCAATTCCTGATCATGCTGCAATTCTATGTCTGCCAAGTATCAGATGTATCAGTCGGTCTATGTCTCTGCCGTACATCCAATGTCTGAATGTTGGGGTGAGGCAAGAACCTTGCTGGATAGTGGCATTTTTCCATCCGGAGTGAGGAAGGTGATCTTGAAAACATTCTGACAGACGTGAGATGCCGTGAGATTATCCTCAAGAAACCAACTGAAACCATTCAATTTGTGTCTCCTAAGGCAGTCGGTCATTGGTTTATTACCACAGCGATGGCCGAGGTTTCGTTTCGGCTTTGATGGAAAGAATCCAATGAGCAACAAGAATCTGGTCTTCGATGAGGTTCACAACATGCTGGCGCTGCCAAGGCCTGTATTCTATGGCTTCACATGTTGAACAGAGAGGCTGCCGTGTCTCATGGAGAAAGACTGAGAACAGAATGGGATGGCATGTATCAGCAGCTGAGGCATGACACATCTCCAGGAAGAAACACTCATTCACTTTTGACGAGACGATTGTCATACAATTGTGTGTTTTCTGGAAAACATGCGACCAAGATGATGTAAGACAATGTAAGATGTTCCAAGTGTCGAGCCCCTTGAATTCAAGGGTTACATCCATTTTAGGGCATGAACTACCAGAAGAACCAGTTATTTTGTGAAAATTCAGCAACTCCCAGGGCTTTGATCCATATCCATATGACTTCAGGTGGAAAGGGACCTACTGGAAGGCGCCAGACGGAAGTTTCTGCGTTTTGGATATTTTGGTTGAACTATGTTGAACTAACTTGGAAGAAATCAACAAATTGGTTGGCACTTTGGAGTCAAAAATCGTCAATTTTTGCTGATTGATTCAAGAAGGCCAACGTCTGACATTGCCGATGGAACTGTGGAGTCTGTTTTGAAGGGCGCCGCCAATGGGAAACACATTTTTTTTTGTGGGATGGGGGGGCTCATATGTATTCATATGTGATATTCGATGATATCATGATATCAATGATATCCATTGAGATCCAACATAATCAACATATTCATAAGCTGAGTTTGTTGATGTTTGACGAATGTTGATGATGTCCGACTATGATCTCCCCCCAACAGGTGCCCACCTGAAGGGGGGTGGATCAATGGCGTCACCCCAGGAGCCTTTACGAAGGCTTCGGAAGGCGGGAAGGATTTGAGGTCAGTACAGAGTAGCAGGCGATTTCATGGCATGTCTGTCGTTGTCAAGCAGTTTTAAAAGCCTGGCTTCACTTGCAACTTGCCTAAGAGTGTGATTGGTTTGGTCTAGTTGCTCAATTAATGTGGGTACAACAATAATAAACCACCCATTTGGGAATGGTTTATACCACCATATACCAGCTATGTATGGTGATGGGGGGGAAGGTTTATTTATTGTTTTACCATGTTTTACCCACATTACAGGTCTATTTCCTCCCGTAGATGCGTTCTTGAATGTATATATATATATCCCATAGGATCCATGTATGGTATATATGCTAACATTGGGGGTATATTGATGGTAAATGTCACCATATATAGCATACATGGATCCTATGGGTATGGGGTCTACTTGCAAAGCCTTTGTTGAGCTCAGCGAAGAACAGGCAGTGGCAGACTGTCGAGGATCCGCGTTGGCCTGATACCCAATGCGTTCTCGAAGAGTCGCCGACAAAAAAGGCACCCCAGCAATGTGTTTTTGGAACAGGAATATGCACTGGCCTGAAAAAGATATACACTTCTTTGATGTGGTTTGGTGATGTTTAATTCATTTTAATTCTGTTCCCCATCAAAATTGCCATTTAAGGGATATTTGGAACCCATTTTTTCAGATTCCCAATATTATGATGTGAGTTGACTGGTGTCATTAAGGTCTTTCTGACGGGCAGTCCAGTGCAAACGGACATCGAAGATGGCCAACGGCTGCTGTCCTGCCGTCGCATTTTTCCATGCTACAACTGGGCCTTTGGTTATTCAACCTGGCGAACTGGAAAATCACCATATTGTTTATAGGTAAATCACGGTAAATCATCATGTTTATAATCTATTTCTAAGGCCCATCTATACATCTTAGCAACCCGGTTATTCATAACCAGAGGGTATCCCATCAATATCCTGTTTGAAAAACACATCATGTTGAATCCTCATGTTTTGCAGTTAAAATCATGTTGAAATCCCCATGTTTTGAACATGGTGGAAATCCACTGGTGGAGCTATAACCTAATTGAGATGGCCAGGCGCGTTTTGAAAGGCAGTGAACATGCGCATGCCGGTCCTGAAGGGTGGTAACCTGGAGATGTCTGGATATGGATGGGTCAAAAATGGGGAATACCCCAAGGTCCAAAAAAAAGCAAGTTTAATGGGAAAATGAGGATAAACCAAACAGGGTTTTGGATGGTTTTGGGCCATTCTGTTTTCATACATTTTCAGACAGATGAGACAAGAACAAACCTTCATTTCCAAGTCAGCACAAGAGAGTCAGAATGTGAGATACCTCTTGTGACTGTTGTGTAGATGAGGAATAAAAAACATGAACATGGCCCTGGGAAGGAGTATGTGCCTCTAAGATCTTCAAGATGTTCTCCTCTTTGTCTATAGATATCATATGATATCATCGTAAGTTCCAGAGAAGATGGATCTGAGTCATTGAAGGGTCATGATTCATGATACACAAATTGCATCAAATTGCTATCCCCCCAACGAACTCGTCCATGTTCTTCCACCCCCCACTTGGAGGGATCTATGTTACATGTACCTGGAGTGTTTTGTGTTTGAGCACCATCAGGTTGGACATGCACATGGAACGCCCGCCAGAGTACTTCCCAAAGGCGCTCCCTGTCCAGAAGGACAGGCTGACTGCACAGAAGGTGTAGCTGGCGTACATACATATGATATTAATATCATACGTATGATACATGACGGCAAATAAAAGCATATACAGTACTCGTATATACATATATACTATAGAATCATACAGACACATTGGTTGAACAGCGTACCTTTTTTGGAGTAAATGTTAGAACCTCCTTGTCACAATCAAGACATACCAAGTAAAGCTGCCAAGTATGTTGATGTTGCAGGCTATGAGACGGAAAATACCTGTGGATGCTTCAATCTGGTCAGGTGTATCCAGAGGGCGTTCCAGATAGACCTTTGTGCCCCAAGCTCAAATCTTTAGCCTCCCTGTTGATTCTTGAACAACTCACAACAGAAAGGAACGGCTGAACTGGACTCAACAAGCTGCTGAAAGGTAACAGGTATCTGCTCGGACGTGTCTTCTTCGCATGGTTTCCATGTCCCCAAGCAACCCGGACCTTTGGTGCAGTTCCAGATAGTTCCAGGCAGGGGATACAAAGTAACCAAAGTAACCAAAGCTATAGGGTTGTGTGCGAAGATATCCCAACTTTTGGGGGTTACAAGCCCAGTCCTTCGCCGGCACGGTCGCACGTTTTAGGCTGTCGCACCAGAGAGGAGTTGGTAGCGGCCATCGACTTGCCAGAAGTTGGGCAGCCCAAATCGGTGCATCAGATTGGCAGTTGGGCAGTGATTGGCAACCCCCAAAAAACGACAGGAATATAAAATCCTACCTTTATATAAGAGTGATAAGTCATTTTGCGATCTTTTTCTGGGGCTACAACACACGTTGTCGCCCAGCATGTCATACTTGGAAGTTACTGCACACTCTGGACCTGTAGTATCAGTGGTGATCACAGGCACAGAGTCTGCGTTTGAAAGGGTTTGGATGAGAGAAATCCAGATTCCATCCCACAGTGTTCCCAGTTAAACTCTGCGGTGAAATTTCCACAGCAAATTAATTAGTGGTTTTAAAAAACATATGGATAATATATAGATAATTTATGATAATTTATGGATAACACTATATATTTTTAAACAACCACCAACTATTTGCTGATGTTTGAAGTATTTTGGTGTGGCAAAACACCACGTTACCAGAGGATCACCAGCGGATCCCATGGCGGGTCAAGGAGATGGATGCCAAGTATCGCGAAGTGGATCGTCAAGGGGCTGACCTTGCTGGCGTCTCATGGGAACCATGGAGGTGCTGCAGATATGGGGGGAAAACCATGTAAAAACCTGAAAATCTCATGGTTGATCATCATTTCGCCTATCTAAAGCATTCTAGATAACAATGGTTTATCAGATATATTATATTATATTATATGATCATGTTCATGAATTTGATCGATCTAACTTAAGCAATGGTTTATCATGTTTTATCATCATGCTTGTAATTCAAATGACTGAGAGTAAATCCCACATGGAATCCCCAGTTGAGACCAGCTTCGCATGAGGTTCGCCTCAGGGACTGCTGCAATCTGTCAGTGACTTGGCTGCAGAAGCAGTGGATGCTTGGGCCATTGGGATTTTGAATCATGTACACCTTCTATAGACATGATTATATATATAATATATATATATACACACATATATATATATATATTACATACACATTGATATGCATGTTTTGAAAAAAAAAATGTGTCTGAAAATGGCGCATCGCATGGTCTGGTCGTGCTTCTGCTTCTATATGTGGTGTACTGAAGGCTTCACTTGGCTGGAGCCCACCAGGTGCACCACACCTGGGCTCTGCGACCTCAAAAGCGACAGTTGATGTTGGAGGCGATGCCGGATTTGAACGGGATGTCGTGGGGATCTGGACCTAGAAAAAGGATGATCTTCCTAGAAAAAGGATTTGCATATAATGGAATGATTCTATAGTTCTATAAATATCTATAAATGCATATATTTGGTGAAATCAGACATTGGTTGTATGAGATTAGATATATGAGTGGGATATGACCTGACAATCATCGGGATTGTTGATTTGCTTTTCGGACACATGACATTCTTTAACACTTGACTTGGAAGAGTCACACTCCATTCGCAGCATTTGACACATTCACTGCCCATTTACTGTATTTGCTGTACCAGGCGGCTGAGCAGCACGCCCTGAAGCTACACGAGGTTGCAAGAGCTGTCTGGAAGTCTGGCGAAAAGGCTCCACTTGGCGGCCCAAAACCGTCGAAAGCTTCTGAATTGATGGAAATTGTGGAAACCAATGGCTTACTTCGTAAAAAAAGAGATCGTTTCCGCAGACACCATGTCATTTGGATAATGCTTATCATGTTTACAAAAATGCAAACTTATTCCAAATCCCCCAGCCGCTCGTGGCAGGCAATGGCGGCAGTTTCGCGGCGAGGTGGCTTGCAGGTGCAGCCATGATGAGCTCACAGGTCCAATAAATGCAAATTATGGGGAGCCCCACGAACCCAATGGTTTAATACCTCATGTTCATATATGTGCATATATGTCCATATTGTTTTTGCGTTGTCGGTCATATGATGACAACATATGTGATAACAATATGATAACAATATTCCAATCATCTCCCAATGGAATGTTGGCAAATCAACATCTTTGTCATCTTTGACCAGGTCCTGAAGGAGCTCATGAAGCTTTATGCTCCAGATGATCATGTGCAAATTGCCGTGCCCAGCTTGGCACCTGTTGCAACGGTAAAATGATGTGTTGTTGCATGTTGTTCCATTTACTGTATATGAGTTTGTATGTCACATGTTTGTCTGAAACTGCAGTGTACCCCGGAAATTTGTGGTTTCTCATCATTTCCGATTGTATTCCCATTATATATATAATATAATATGTTTTTTTCCACCTTCAAAACCCCCGGTCGTAGCATGTCGTCGCTGTGAACAAACCGCACCCCACAACCAGGTGTTCTCTGGACATAGTAGCACCATTCTCTCGCGAACAGCCGAAGAAGCTGTGCCGCCCACTGAGGCAGCGATCACTGGGGATGGGGTTCAAACAGTTGTGCTATCATGGCTACCATGGCAGTTTTAAGACTCGGTGGAAGTTTGGTCTTTTTAAAAAGGAGGGTCAACATTCAATAGTCTTGATATGTCTTTATTCCCAAGTCAAAGTGTATCATGGTGTATATCAAACATCATAAAGTTCAGAGTTCCTAAGTCTCTAGGATGGAGGGGTTTCAAAATAATTTTTTTAATGATTTATTTATGATTTGAATACGATTTCCATTTATGATTTTTTTATGGGTTCAAATTGTGGTTATGATTTTTTTATGGTTTGGATATGATTTTTTTATGATTTTTTTATGGTTTTTTTAGTCCTCAGAATCTGGTTTTCAGCTAAAAACTCGAGAAGTTTTCGATTTTTTTATGATTTTGCTAGAGTTTCCTTTTCCCCAAAGCCTTTTCAGCAGAAAATTTGATTTTGGAAGCAAAATCGTAAAAAAATCGTAAAAAAATCGTAAAAAAATCGTAAATGCATCCAAGGTCCCCAGAATCTGGTTTTCAGCTAAAAACTCGAGAAATTTTCGATTTTTTTATGATTTTGCTAGAGTTTCTCTATCGAAAATCGTAAAAAAATCGTAAAAAAATCGTAAATGCATCCAAGGTCCCCAGAATCTGGTTTTCAGCTAAAAACTCGAGAAATTTTCGATTTTTTTACGATTATTTTACGATTTTCGTAGAATTTCCTCTTCCCTGAAGTCTTTTCCACCAGAAAATTTGATTTTTACAGAGAAACTCTAGCAAAATCACAAAAAAATCGAAAATTTCTCGAGTTTTTAGCTGAAAACTAGATTCTGGGGACCTTGGAAGCATTTACGATTTTTTTACGATTTTTTAACGATTTTCCTAGAGAAACTCTAGCAAAATCATAAAAAATTCGAAAATTTCTCCAGTTTTTAGCTGAAAACCAGATTCTGGGGACCTTGGATGCATTTATTTACGATTTTTTTACGCTTTTGCTTCCAAAATCAAATTTTCTGCTGAAAAGGCTTTGGGGAAAAGGAAACTCTAGCAAAATCATAAAAAAATCGAAAATTTCTCGAGTTTTTATAGCTGAAAACCAGATTCTGAGGACTAAAAAAATCATAAAAAAATCATATCCAAAACCATAAAAAAATCATATCCAAACCATAAAAAATCATAACCACAATTTGAACCCATAAAAAAATCATAAATGGAAATCGTATTCAAATCATAAATAAATCATAAAAAAAAATATTTGCCAAAAATGGCATCCTAAAGGATTTAAGAAGTCTGAATCATAAAGCAATAAAAGACAAAAGATCACATTTGGAAACAAGTGTTGGGATGTGTTGAGGGTGCCCGCGTGAATTCTCGAGGAGCACTTGTTGGTGGTTTCAATTCTTCACTGTAACATCCTTGTCCGAGAGAGTGTGCATTTTGAGTTGGTGCTATCTAAAAATGGCGCCAAGAGTCGTGGACAAAAATATACGAGAAGATCAACTACACACCAATCACAAGCACTGGCAAGTGGGATAGAAATAGTCGCATGAGCGTCACGAGTGGAGAGAAATGCTATACCAATTGATTATTTCACATGATTTCACATGATTTCATTTTATGTTATTTCATGTTGCTTAATTTCAGTTAGTGGGATTAAAGGAAGCTATAACCCAGTAACTGAAATTATAGTATAGTGTTATAACATAGGTTAAGTATGGTTAAGTTATCATTACATGTACAATGAACTTCATGGTATACTAACTGGACGAAAACCCATGGATTTACCCCTTGGACAGCTGAGAACTGGCCAACCGTGCTGTTTTTAAAATGAGGCGCTTCGGCGCTTCAATGACACCAAGCACATTGAGGCTGGAAGCGAGCGAACGGGGCCTGCCAGTTCAGGTAACGAAATACGTGTGTAAAGGCAGCCAGCAGAAAACATCGGAACACTATAATTTGTTCCATGCTGGTTTATCCGTTTATCATCAGCATGGACATTAAGATTGATATAAAAAAGGAAGAAATGGGGTATAGATTTCTCATGTTGCTGATACGGTCTGACCAAGTATCACACTCCTGTTCGAAATACGTTTGAGGGATCGGATGCAAAGCAAGCGACACCAATCCTGAAACTTGTGTTGTTGCGCCTCATTTGCCTCCATTTTTCCACGTGGTATACCCCTCTTAGACTCTTTGTACAATCATTTGCGACAGGTCCGCGTCTTACTTCTCGACACTGCCTTCGGCCGAGAGGGAGTTTCAGCTTTAGGCGAGGGGCCATTGGTCATTTTAATCAACACCTTGGGATGTTGGTATATCCAACCAGCCCTTCTATAGTACATGCTTTTGAAAATTGGGTACTCTGTCCCATCCATTGCTTAATCATCAAATTTCTTGGAAATGTCATTAAGATTACCATATTTGGGTATATCATATCCATTCATATCCTATTTTAAGACACATCCAGTGCTCAGTGAATAGCCGCAGCCCATGGCATTTGTTGGTCTCGTAGCAAGCATCCCTGGTAGGTGTTGGTCAACTACATTTAGTGGATGTGCCTGCAAGCTGGGCAGAGTGCGCGCTGGGAAAAAAATGCAGGGGCTAGGGTCAACACAAGATTTGCTTACTGCTGGGTTTTGGTGTGAATATATATATATGATTATATATGATAATATATACACAATTTATAATATATATATATATTGTATATCATATGTCATATATTGTATATCATATGTCATATATCGTATATCAAATGTCATATATCGTATATCACATGTCATGTATCATATATCATATATTGTTTATCATAGATTATCATATGTTATATATCATATTTTATATATCATATTTTATATATCATATATCATATATCATATGTCATATATCATATATCATATATCATATATCACATACATACATACATACATACTTACATACTTACATACTTACATACTTACATACTTACATACTTACATACTTACATACTTACATACTTACATACTTACATACTTACATACTTACATACTTACATACATACATACCATACATACCATACATACCATACATATCATACATATCATACATATCATACATATCATACATATCATACATATCATACATATCATACATATCATACATATATATATATATATACATCATACCTATATATATCATACCATATATATATATATCATATATATATCATATATATATATATAATATGTATCATATATTATATAATATGTCTCATATATTATATATATCATGTGCATATGTGTGTATATCAGATAATATATATATACACAGAGCATTGTATATAGAATTGAAAAGATATGTATGTATCGTAAGTATGTATATATATAATTATATAATGTTTGTGTTCCATCCTGACCTGGAATGATTCCAGTGAAAGGAATCGAAAGGAGTAGGTTACCTGTGATGTAGGATACAAAACATCCTCAGGCATCCTGGCTGGGCAATAGACCTGAGTGAAGCAATCCTTCAGAGCTTTGAAAATGTTGTGTACCCCTAAACCCAATGGTTAATGATCATTATCCCTATTAAATGGCTATCATTGGGAATATACCCTATTTTCAGACAAACCCATACAATGTCAAAATCAATCCGCAATGGATCGAGATTCACTGGATCACTTCATGAAATAGAAACAGAAAAAAAACAGAATCATGTCCGTACGTACGTTTGATAAAGGTGGATAATATCCCTCCAACGTCCCGTTGCCTTATGCAGAAGGTCTTTTTGGTTGCTGAAATGCAGGTACAAACAGACAGTTGGCAGAGCCATTCGCTTCGGCGATGTGAAAGAGGGTGTACGACCCAGCCTCAGTGTCGTTGTTCCTTCAACTCTTCAGCAAGGACTTCAGCAAGGATAATGATGCCTTCAATCTGGTTTGAAACACCCGAATCCCTTCTTGGAACCGGATTTGTTGATGTTGGAACTGTAGAAGTGCGATGTTAAATCAGATTATGTTGCCCTCTGGTAATTTAACATGGCTATGCAAATGACCCGTTAAGCGGTTATTTACTTACTAAACCTATTAAAAAGGGGTGATGTATGGTGATGTGCCATGTCGCAAAGTGTGAATTTAGGAGAGGCTACAGGTTTTTTGTGCTAAACCCGGCCCAGGACGAAGTTTACAGGTTTGTCTTTGGGTCGCCAGGCTTGTGTCTGAACCTCTCATTCAGGGTGACTTTTTGTGGTCGAATTTTAAAACCCCAAAAGCACCGTTATTTTTAACGATGTTTAGTATATGTGTGAGGAGTAACCATCTAATTATATCTGATGATTGGGGTATATTGGGGTACTAAATTTTGACCCATAGCCAATTCATCCCAATTCTCTTTTTTTTGATTCAAATGATTGAATATTGATGGATGGTGGAGAAATCGTTCATCCTCGGTATTTCTGCAAGCATTTGTTGGCTTTGGAAGGTTCGCCCCCCCGTTTAAGCTGCTAGGTTGCCTGCCAAAGGTGTTGTTTGAAATTGCTGGATTCACCCAAAATTAAAGAGCCCTGGGCTACTAACAGGGCTACTCCTAAAAATTTTAAAAGTTGCTATCCCTTCCCAAAAAATCTCACACATTCCAAAAAAATCTCGCTAATTCCAACAAAAATATCATTTTTTCTTTTTTAAACTTACAAAAAATCAATCCAACAATTCGAAAATAGACTCAAAAGCTCAAAAACAGAAAAAACAAAAAAACACAAAAGAAACACAAAAAATAAAAGAATACATAAATAATAAAACATTAAAAAAAATCAAAAAGTTGAGAAAAAATCAAACACATCCAAAACGTTTTAAACATATCTGAAAAACAAAACAAAACAACAAAAAAAAACATATTAAAAAATACAACAATCCAAAACGTTTAAAAAAGAAAACAAAAAACAAAAAAACACAAAACAATCATTTAAAAAGAAAAATAACATAAAACTACGTAGTTTAAACTTATCAACAAAAATTGAGTAATTCTTTGAAGTTACATAAAAAGATCTAAGAAGTATTAATGAAACATAGTTATTTGGAATGAAATATAATTAGTTGGGCTGAAATGGAATTATTGGAACGAAATTGAATTATTTGGAATTAAAATGAATGAAACGGAATGTTCTAGGAGTGTCCCTATAAGGAATGTCCCTCTCCATAGAAAAGAATATGGCCAGTAGAATTTTTGGGAAAAAGAGGCGGGAAAAACTTTCCAGATGTTTTTTGAAAGGAGGAATTGCGCATTTTGTTCATCGTATGTCCCATTTTGAGATAACCCATGACAGCCTAAAGCCCAGTTTGCCTGACCCCAAGCAGCTGCGGGGCCCGAAGGCTGCTGGATGAAGAGTCTGCAGACGAGGTGATGAAATGGCCTTGGGGGTTGGAAGATGGGTAAAATTGCATTCAAATTGATGTTCCTTTGCAGGGTCGATGCTAATTTCGGGGAGAGGAAGTTTGCTGGTTTCAAATACTCATGATTTAGCATGGCGCTCTACCACGTTTTCTTTAGAGCATTTTAGAGCTATGTTGTCCAAGTTTGGGTAATTAGTGTCCCTAAGTTTGGTAATTATTGTCCCCAAGTTTGGGTAATTATTGTCCCTTTAAGTTTCCCAAATTTGGGGTCAAATATTCACAATATAAGGGGTCAAAATTGACGTGGTTGAGCGCCATACGGGATAATTCTGAATGAGTTGTATGAACATAATTTTACATAGACTATTGGGGTGCATAAATTAGACCAAAACACATTCAGGAAATGAGGTCTTCATGATGAGTCATAATACTTGTGATGTTCAATCTTGTTGGAACCATAGTTGGGATTTTTACAGTATCCAAAGATGTTCAAACTGAACAGTTTTGTTGGGATGGGTACCTTCTGGTAATTTAACGTAGCTATTGAAAATGACCATAGAAATAGTGGATTTTCCCATTGATAGCATGGTGATTTTCTATAGTTATGTAAACGTTTACCAGAGGGTATCCCTTCACCGATTTTTCTTCGGTTATGGCGACCCTGCCATCAGGTGCTCTTGGCACAACTGTTGGAGCAAGGCAGAGCTTCACCTGGGGAAATGATCCTGCGGTTGTTGATGATGATGTTGTGATGTTGATGATGTTGTAATAATATTACTATTACCCTCTGGTGAACTAACATAGCAATGGAAAGATCCACCATGCTATTAATGGGAAAATCCACTCTTTCTATGGCCATGTTCCATTGCTATGTTAGTTCACCAGAGGGTAATAGTAATATTAATAACAATAGTAATAATAGTAGTAATAGTTGGTTCTAGTGATGATGATGATGTTGATGTTGATGATGCAGGATGGGGCCCCCAGTTATAAGTTGGTTTATAAACCATGATAATCCCCATTAACTATAGTTACAGTATATCTACCAAAAACCATAGTTAAACCACTTATAAACCAACTTAGCTATCTTGGGGGCCCCATCTTGTGATGGATGAGGATGATAATGATCATTTTCAACCACAGATGATGATTGATGTTTGATGAAAAACCATCAACTGTGGTTGAAAATGATCCACGTTTGAACCCTCCAAATCTATCCAAATCTTGTGGTTGATCATGATGTTTGGCGAATTCTTTGTGGAAAACCGGGAAAAGCTGAAGATTTGAAGTTAATTATAGATTGATAGTCCCATTGAAATTGTCATAAATTGGAGTTGCCGGGTTTTTTGGAAAGAACAACGTGATGCGGCGGCTTTGTTCAGATTCCATCAGGGGAAGAGCTGTGTGCTGCCGAAGATGAACTTCGAAGTTGGAGTTTTGTTTGGGGCCAAGCACACTTGCTTGATGGTTTATGAACCTAAGGAATCCTATGGATATTTATTTTATTCTATTGTATTCCGGATATGGCGCAGATGATCCCCAACAGACATGTCAAATTGAGGGATTGTCGCAGGTTCGATCCGGGCTTGACCTTTTTGCTGCAGGTTCAGAGTTGCAGAATAGTGCTGGAATTTGCAGTTGCAGAATAACAGAGTTTGTATCTGCAATCGCAGAATAATCGTGCACGAATCTCCGAAAAAATCAACTGAATACCTATCGGCATCCTCCAGACAAGGTTCACAGTGTCAGAAGCTGTTAGAGATGCGATCTTTTTTGGAGCGCTTCGCTATTAAAAGCGTGCTTTTAATTTCAATTCACGTCATGTCCGCTCTAAGGAATGATTTGGGGAGGGGAAGCGCAGTGGCATTGCACTGCAGGCCCGGCCAGATATGGCCAGATTTGCCAGTTGCACGGCCCCAAGACATCCCAAAACGCCCAACTCACAACGGATTCTGTCATCATTTTCCCCATATGGCTATGGATCAATACCTATACATACCATTTTTAGGGGGATGTAACATCCATAAATCCCAGCTATTTTGATGTTCACCACACTGCCATATTTCAACGGCTGTTTGGAAGCCCACGCCGGACGGACCCGTTGTGTTCTTCCGCGGCTCGAAGGTTAGCCCCTTACGGTAGCATAGGCATCGCTCACGTGGCGTTGAAGGTACCTATGTCTATTGGATGAACCAGGACCGGTGTTTGGGTTTCAATTGGTTTCAATAAGATGTGCAATATATATATATATATGTAATCAGTTACATGAATTAAGTTATATTGTGCTATATCCATCATATTTTCCATCCACTTCCTCGCTTTTGAATCCCCAAAATTGGATGTCTATCATGTGTGACACATTGTGACACCACGTTACACCAGAGGATGAGCGCGTCCACGGCAGCCTTGGGAAAGTGATTGAGGTGCACCTTGGTTCACCGCACCAAGGACGGCCGCTCGGAAGAGACCGGAGAGGTGAAAGGTTCGATGATCAACTTCCAATTTTCCAAACCTATTTGGTTTGGAAGGTTCGAGGTTGATCATCGAAGTGGATGTGAAAACGAGAGAGGAAAAAGCCAAGTACCTTTTGAAGTGCGACTTCCAGCCTGGCATGTTTGTGTTTTGGAGAAAGCAAGATGAGGACGTCCCAGCTGGCCATGTTGGTAAACTTGGAGAGGTGGACAACGAGGGGAGGAGCTTGGTTTTTCAGCAGGGATTTGATGAAGGCCCTCGTGCAGCCTGGGTCAGGATCGAGCCGGCTGGCAATACCTGAATCCTTCAAAGGGACCCTTCAAAGTCTATGTCTCCTGCAAAGCCACCGCAAAGCGCTTTGCGCCCTTGACGCCTTTGCTCCTCATGATAAATTATGATACATTGCATTGGGACGGGCTGGACTGCGACCGTGAGAGGTGGATGAAGGAGGTAAAGAAACACTGTGGACACCATGCGTGAGAACATCTACACCCACAACACCCTGGATGAGTACATCCATTTGGGCTATCAGCTCATGAATGATTATCCAGACGTGGCCGGACAAGTCATGGCAGTTGCATCTACGGTTTCAGAGATGATTGATTCTGATGGAATTCGCAATGTAGCTGAGGGAGCTGCAGATCGAGTCAAGGACTTTGTGAATTACGACCAGGTTCAGAGTGTCACAAACAAGGTCAAAGATATCATGGGTAGTGAAGAGGCTCAGGAAATGGTAAACCAAGTTGGCAAATTTATGAATCAGGCCAAATCTTGGTGGGGATGAGTCCCACTATAGGGATAAGTTCCAAACCAGGTGTCACGTGATTTCCAAAGGAAATTAGAAATTGAACGCACACCTTTCGCACCAAAGGGGCACGAGCAAGAAGCTTGACTCTTAGGGGCGCGCGAAGCATGCGATCAAGGAAGCTGATGGCTGATGATGCTGTGAAAAAGCTTAACGGAAAGAATGCTAGGAATCTTGCACGCTTTGCTGCTTGTATGAACATGAAACTGGCTATCAGCTTGCGAAAGTCCGCGGATTCATTGAAGAACTTGATTGTCGCAGTTTCTGTTTAGGATGGGTGGGGATGATGCATCTTGGCTCGCAAGAATCGATCTCAAAACTTGGGCCGAGAGAGGTATTCAGAATGCAAGAAAGCAATCCTAATTAATGCCCTGACATGAACTATCGTCTTCGTGCTTATTCACAGTTGTCCAGTGGAGTAAAGTAACAACTGCGGATCTTAAAAGATACCGAGCGAACCTGTTGGGAACAGTGTGAACTGCAAAGTCGGTGGGGGGGCACTCATTCGCACTCGAGCTTCCAAAGTTGGATGGTTTGAAAGGGTTTGATGAGATAATGACGATTAATGATCAATAATTGATGTTTAATTTTTAATGATGTTTGATGTGGTGCTGTTGTATGGTCACTACTTATTGCAAACATGACCAAATTTGTGGGTCCAGGTCCAGTTATTGGCGAAGCTGACGCTGAGAAGCTGACATGGATCGAACAAAAAGGATGGAGCGCGATTTGGGAAGGTGTTGATCAATATTGATCATATATCATCATATGAGCCAACAAAAAAAAGGTGGTTGATTTACAGTAGTATTGTGCGATCCTTCGTTCAGAATTCCAGGCACCGCCGCAGCTATTTCTGATGTTTTTGGTAATTTTGGAATGTGCCATTTAGTTGGGGAACGACCCTCTGAACGACATCCAGAACGACATTGGAACTACCTCCTGATTATACGTATATAAGTTATATAAGTATATTATATATATATATATAGTTAGGGACCTACACTTAGAACACAAAGTGTTTTCAATTTTTTCCATACGCTTAGAACACCGTTTTGCTGCCGGTGAAATTTACCCTAACTGTTCTAAGTGAAGGCTTAGAACGTGTTCTAAGTGAGCCACTTAGAACATCATCAGAAACGTGTTAGAACACATCTTATATTTCCAACATGTGTTCTAAGTGTATGTCCGTCCATGTAAAGAGTCATACAATACAATTGGTAAGGCATATATACAATATTGTATTAAAATGCAATATAACATAAAATAAGATAGGGTAATATATATATATATAATATAATAAAATACAGGTCTAGATGCATTTTTATCTGACATATTTTGTATTATTTTGTGGCATTCTATTTGGCATATCAGAACTTATTTTATCTGACATATCTTTTGGCACTTTATCTGACATACCTTGTGGCATTCTATTTGGCATATCAAAATCTATTTTATCTGATATATCTTCTGGCATTTTATCTGACATATCTTCTGGCATTCTATCTGACATATCTTCTGGTATTCTATCTGATATTCTATCTGGTGTTCTATCTGGCATATCTTCTGGCATTCTATCTGACATTTATCTGATTTTCTATCTGGCATATCTTTTAGTATTCTATCTGGCCGTTGAGGTCCAGTGGTGCTCACTGAGCTCGGAAGGTCCCAGGCTGAGGTCCAGCGGTGCTTACTGAGCTCGGAAGGTCTCAGTTTGAGGTCCAGTGGTGCCCACTCCTATCGCACGCCGGTAATTGAGGTCCAGCAATGCCCACTGCATGCGGAAGTTGGTGAAGAGTTTGCAAGGCGGACGGTAGTTGAGGTCCAGCAGTACCCACTGCATGCGGAAGTTGGCGAAGACTTGGCAAGGCGGAAAGGATATTATGGAAGTGGATGCAAAGGTGGTGGAGGAGAAATTGGAGGAGAGGAAGGAGGAGGAGAAAGAGATGGAGGATGAGGAGGAGGAGACGGAGAAGGAAAGGAATTATGATAAAATTTAATTTGTCCTCCGCCATTAAATTTCTAATTTCATTCTAAATTTTCGATACGGATTTAATATTCCTATTCATTATAAAATATTTATATTTATTGAAAAT